GATGGTGATGATGATGGTGGCGGTGGTGATGACGAGCATGACGATGATGGTGATGATGGTGATGTGGTGACGAAGAAGGGGATGAGGATGAGAATAACGATGATGAGAAGGATGACGATGAGGGTGATGATTGGGGGATGGTCATGGAAATGATGATGACGATGATGATGCTAATGACGATGATGATTCTTATTATTATGATGATGCTGGTGGTGATGAATGTCAAGGGCATAATACCCTCCGCCCCACTAAAGCCTACACCATCACTGTGGGAAATGCTGTGGACGATCACCACCCTCACAACTCAGGAACTTGATTACAGTCAGAGTCAGAGGTGGATAGGTTGAGGATACGGGGCTCGGAGACTCAGAAGTTTGAACTCCTCACGAAAACAACACCCAAACGCCAGTTCAAGGACGCCCAAAGGTCTGGAGTCGTACGTTGCAGGTCTCGGCTGAAATCATAGAGCTAAACCTCAAACCCAAGACAAGCAGCAATGAACCCCTATTCCCTCATAGTACTCTTTCCCAACCTCTTATACAACCTTTTCAGAACCTTCCAGAATCCCCGACCTCAAAAAGACCCTCACGAATTCCTCATAAACCCATGGTTGTGAAGCCCTCCCGGCACCTGATTGCCAAAAAGAACACAATGGTGATGCCGGCAAAGTTGCCTGGCTGTTGAGGAACTTTAGTTGTAAGGTTCTTCAGTTCTGAAACCCTACGTGTCGTAAGGTTCTTTGCACTTGGGTCTGCTGGTCTTCTCAGTCGCCGGGAAACCCTAAACCCTAAAACCACATCCCATGAACCCCAAACCCGAAACCCTAAAGCCCAAACCCGAAACCGTAAATCCTAACCCCCAAACCCTAGACCCTAAACACCAAACCCACAACCCATAAACCCCCAGACCCAAATCCCATAATCCAGCCCAGAGCCACGGGCTGCAAAGGAGAGATGCTCCGGGCCTCGAATGGCGAGGCCGGGATAGGGGGCTTCCGGCAGCTGGTATAGAACAGAGTTTAGGGCTTAGGGTTTAGGGTTTCAGGCTGTTGATATGGGTAGTTTCCCTTTTTCAGGTCCCTTTTGTATTCTTTTGTATAAGCCTCTATGCTATCTTGGTCTAAGCCCTGTGCGTTGGGGGCGTTTGGGCGTGGCATCCCAGCAAGAAGCTTCGTGATGACCGATTGGAGTTTAGAGTATAGGTTTAGGGTTTAGAGTTCCAAAGCCCAGAACAAACCCTGACACCCTAAATCAAAGTCCTCAAGCCCTGAACCCTGAATCACCCTGCAGAATCGGACAAAGAGCCAACACTAGAATGGACCTGACAAGTAGCTGAAAATCTTACCAGGCGCCCAGGTGTTGCGGAGCCTCGGTATCAAAGGTGCTGGGGTTCCGCCTTATGCTTTAGGCCGCAGGCTTTAAGCCTAAGCTTTATGGTCCAGAGCCCGGGGTTCGGACTTAGGTTCAAAGTCTGGTAAAGAAAGTCTCTAGGGTAGGGTTTCGCGATTCAGGTTGAGGTCTATGGCAGGATCGGGTTTTGGTGGCAAGCTTTAAAGTTTGGGGTCTAAGGTCAGATCGGAGCATTCTTTGCACTACAGGCATACCCCTCTGTCTCCTTCGCACGCGCGATAGCCTCACATCTCGCCGCTCTGTCAGACTACAGCTAAAACAATAAGACTGCTCTGGTCTTAGGAGACCAAATCTATACCTCCTAAACCCTAAACCCCTAAACACTAAACCCCTAAACCCCTAAACTCCTGAACCCTGAACCCCTGAACCCTAAACCCTCAATGTGCATCGAGGGGGGTGCGTAGGGGTTCCGGGACTTACGGGGCTTCGGGGTTTCAGACGGCTGGTTGGTAGTTGATAGGTGGGCTTGGGGTTTAGGCTTTAGAGTTCAGGGTTTAGGGTTTTGGGTTTCGGGTTTCTGGGTTTAGGGTTTAGGATTTCTGAGGTTTTGAGGTATGGCAACTGGCCAAGGTGCCCCTCCCAGGCTCCTTTCACCAACAGCAAGACGTTGTCCCCACGCCAGCAGCGCCACTTCGTGTCCTCCAGGGGGTTAGGACCTTTGCTGATACTCTATTCATGTCTCAAAAACCCCAAGAACAAACCGTACCCTAAAACCTACCCCAGAAAATGCTAAAGCCTAAATCGTAAAGTCCCAACCCCGGTAGCTGCCTCCTCATTCCACTCGATAACACGCTGCGCCAGGTCTGCGGCTTTGCGCGCCGTGAAAGACACGGAGAAGACCATGATCGTCTCCTGGCCACAGGAGAACACTGAGGTATTGGGAGGACGCGTCGCCTTAAGTCCTGAACCCTAAACTCAAAATCCTAAACCCCTGAACCTTAAACCTTAAACCCTACACCCTAAATTCCATCTGAGCATCATCAGCCAGGTCGTCGGAAGGCTTCGGGCAGTAATTCTTGTAGTCCTTAACCTGGGATGATGAAAACTTGAAAGGCCCGGCAGAAAAAGGGAGCTTAGCGGTTTAAGGGTTAGGGTTTTTAGGGCTTCGGGTTCTAGGGTTTCGGGTTTAGGGTTTAGGGTTTAGGGAGGGTTTTTTCCGAGTTCTTGTCTCGGCAATCGTTGGAAGGTCGACTCCTGCCTTTGCACGTACCTTCAAGTGGACTCGACTGCATGAATGCCAGGCACGCGGCTAAAATCCGCTGCAGCTTCCGTATGTGAGTCTTTGACTGCAGGATCGCCGACTTCCTCGGAACAGCAAGCGTGATTCCCGGAAACCCTGAAACCGCCTGTTGATCAACTGAAAGCAGCAAGAATGGACAATCACCCTCCTTACCCCTGCCGCCGTCATCACCACGACCACCACCGCCACTAGCATGATTAGCACCACGACCACCACCAGCAGCAGCCACACTACCACCACCCGAAGCACCATCAGCCCTCTTCCTCAAACTCCTTCTCCTCCGCCTCACGGAACCCTCACGATGACGACGACAGCGAACACGACGAAGACTGCATGACTCAAACACAGCCCAGCTTCGAGCATGTGTCCTGCTAAACCCGCAAAAGACATGAACGACGTGGTGCGTCTCTATCGGAGTTTCGGGAAGTAAGCAATCCCAAAAATGACACAAGAATCAGGAGGATCCTCGTGTTCAAAACCTTCTTTTCCAAAAAAACCCAATGCAAGCCACCTGAGGACCACAGGCACAAAAGGCCGAAAGCAAAGCCAAGGAAAGGCAAAGGCACATGATCTCATTGATCTGCTTCTCATAGGTCGCACCTTGCCAAGACCATTATCTGGTAGCTGTGAGTGTATGGTCTGGGGCCGGGGGCTTTATCACAGTGCCTGCAGAGACATAAAGAGGCACGCAGTGTCGTCAAAAGGTAAGACCACAGTGTCTTGATGTCTGTACATGGTACCCCGACAGGGTTGTAATATCTTTGCATCGAGCTTATCCAAGACATGCGCATCCATGCACACTTCAGGCCTGCAGAACGTGTGCGGAAACTGAACGAGTACCGCAAACCCAAATACCCATGTACCCTAAACCTGCGGGGTTATAGTTTCAGGGTTTAGGGTTATGATTTTGGGGTTCAGGGTTTACGGTGCGAAAGCCTTTGACATGCTTGCTGCTTGCTGTTTTCTCAGAGCTTTATGATTTGAGGGTTTATAGGGTCATAGCTTTAAGGTTTAGGGATATGTTTTGGGAGTTTCGAGAAAAAGGTACGAAGGCTTTTAGGCTGCTTGATGTTTTCCCAGAGCTTTATGGTTTCAGGGTTTGTAGGGTTATAGCTTTAGAGTTCAGGGTTATGGTTTTGGGGTTTGGGGTTTATGGTACGAAAGCCTGTGGGATGCTTGCTGCCCTTGCATTCTGCAGGCTCTCAGAGCCACATACTTTTAGTTTAGGGCATAAAGCCTTTAGGGCCTGGGTGTCAGGAAATAGGTGCTTCTCAGGCCCTAATGAAGAAGCACCCATTGCAACTTAGTCAGGGTTTCCTGGATTGGGGTTCCGGGCTTAGGGTTGAGACTACCAACCTTGAATCCTGGCCCACCCTAAACCCTAAACCCTTACTTATATATATATATATGTATATATACGACATGACCCAGACTCCAGCCCCATAAAGAAGTGTACTATGCCCTAAACATCATACCTGAAACCCTATGCTCAAGCACCTCTTGATCCCAAAGGGCCGGAATAAACCTGAACCTCTGCAGGTCTTCAGCCCTCTACCCGACACCCCGAACGAGTCTGAGTAGCTTCGCGGACTTTATAGCTGGGCTCTTGTTAAAGGATCTAATGTAAGTTACCATAGTAGGGATCTATAGAAAATAAAATGGTTTCTATAATATGGTAACTTAAGTTAACTCCTTTAACAAGAACAAAAAAGGAGTACAGGGTCTTGAGGGGAATGCCTCTCTAAAAGAGGCGCCCTCCTTCTAAGCGCGCGGCTGAGGCAAAGTTCGGTGAGAGCCGTGGCCTCTTGAACCATGGCCTGAACACAAACCCTAAACCCTAAACCCTAAACTGTGTGGGGCTCCTCCCTTGAGGGGTCCGTTTTAAGGTCTCTTGGGGGTTCCTCTTCAGGGCTCCGTGAGGAGTTTCAGGCTTGGGCTTTCAGGGCTTCATGAAGTGTTGAGTTTGGGGGTGCGGGATACAAACCTTACGGAATCAGGGCTGCAGGCTTAACGGCTTAGGGTCTGACAAGGTGCTATTGAGAAACCTGAATTCTCTTGCGACCCCGGGGTTCGGTGAGGGATACCCGGAGGTAGAATCTCTGAGAGGTTTCGATGAGAACCAAGGATGACGCACCGTGGCCAAATTTAGGGATTAGGCATACGGGCTTGGGATTTGTGGTTCAGCTCCAGGCCAGCGGTAATCGTATAAGTATAGTAGAAGAGGCTTCACGGGGACGACGCATGGTTTGCAGAAGTACGCCCCACAGTATGCCCTTCCTGCAGCTGCGGGTGGAGAGGTCGGACGAACTCCTCATGCTTCCCAGAGAAATCTTCATTGAGCACCTGGGTAGCTCCATACTCATGTGGCCAATGCTTTGGGCACGCAAGACGTAACCCCTCTTAGCGCTTCCAGGGGTTGAGGGTGGAAGCTCAGAGCCAGAGCCAACCTTTAACCTGAAAGCCTTCCCGACATCCGTGTTCTAGGGAGCATCGACGGAGAAGATGCATGGCCCTCTGTGCGAAAGCTCTCTGCTGCAGGCTTAGACGAGCCGATGGGTGTTACTAAACTACCAAGGTGGTTCTCCAAACTAGGGTCCCCCTTTAGGTCCCAATATAGTGCGCCACCCTTATAAACAGGCCCTTCAATGGGACCCCAGTTTAGAGCACCACCCACTAAAACCTGGACCCGAGTGATAGTTCCAGCGCAATTCAGTGCGTACCCCGTGACGCAGGACTTCACGGCGGGCAGAATGTCCACAATGTCCTCGGCACAGCTCCATCTGTCGGACGAAGTCGTTGTGGATATGGGACTTACTCATGCTTTGGGACCTTGAGGGTTGCGCATTCGGAGTCTGAAGGTGAGAACGCAGCGTTGTTGTGCAAAACCTAACCACTACACGCAAAATCCGGCAGTCCGGGCCAGGCTGTGCTGTCGGTTCGGTCCGAGGGACGCCGGCTTCCAGGGGCCTAGGGCTTCTGGCATGAAATTCAGCCCACCTGCGAAACCGGAAATGCAAGTCAACCAAAAGCTAAAGGAATAGCCCCCGCTTGAATTATCAACAAAAGAGTAACGGTGATACTGTAATGGATAGAAATGGCACTATAATAATTCACAAGCGAGCCAAGTCTCCGCGATGTTGCTCTGAAACTGCATCATGATCTGACGCCGGGGTTCGAATCTGGCAAGCAAGGCAGACTCCCACCAGGCCGCCTGAGCGTGCTGGGGCTTTCGGGCGGTTTAACCCAGATAATGGCTTTTAGGGTTCGGCTCCGCCTATCGCAAGGAAGGCCTACCTGTCTAGAGTTGAGGCTTAATCAGGCGCGTTGGGATCTTTAGGCTTAGGGTTCAAGGCTGACTCTTTGATATTGAAGACTGGAGCTGGGGTTGAGGATTAGGGCTTGGGGTTCCAAGGTGTTGGGATTCTAGGTTTAGGGTTTCGAGCTTAGGGCTTGGGAATAACCCGCTGACGGCCGAGGCTTGGCTTTCAGCATTCGGATTTCCGGGTTGCCGGGCACACGAAGATAGGGTTTCGCGTTGAGGCTTTAGGGGTTCGGCGAGCCTCGCCGTTGGCACACTCGAAGAATGGAACTGTCCAGGATAGCAGTGGGGACCCGAGGAACTTTCACCCGAAGCCTACACCCTGAGACCTGAAGCCCAATGACACTAACTCGTTTCCCCAGAACTGTGTTCACCTGCACCCCAAAGCCTAAACTCCTAAGCATCCCAAAACCCAATAAGAGCAACTGAGTGAGGTCCTGAAAAAACTCCATCAAGTGCTCTGGATAAAAGGCCTTGATTGTTGAAATGGGGTCTGGGTGTAAGTGTTGTAAGTGTTCTAGTCCTGAACCCCATGAAACGTTTTTACTAATTACTGAGACCTCAAACTATACTAAACCCCATTACTCGTTCAGGTCGCCCAACAGGAGCAAGAGACCCCACATCGCAAGAAACCCTAAACCCCCGATGAGCTCCCAAAACCTTAAGGCCCTACAACCCAAAACCCCTAAACCCTAAAATCCCCAAACGCTAAAGCCCTAAACCTTGAAACCCTAAAGCCCCAAAAAGCCCCTGAACCCCTTTTGAAAAGGGACCTTGAGGTTAGCAGCGACGTTCAAGTTCATCTGGCTGATGGCATCGATCTTCGCCTCTAAGTGAAATCCTCGGCCAACTCCGGGGGGGCCTACTGTAGGGGGTTGGCTACTTGAAGGGTTAGCCTTTAGGGCTTAGGGTCTAGGGTTTAGGGATTTCTATTTGGGTTACTAGTACGGTGACTGCACTGAGTTCAGGGTTTCGGGCTTAGATGAAATCCTCTCGGCAAATTCGGGTGCTCATGGGTTTAGGAGTGAGGAGTTGAGGCTCATGCGCACTATGCGGATTACTGTATGGGGGACTTGAAGAAGTACTGTAGAGGGTTACTGTGGGTTACTTCTAAGGGTTACTATAAGGGCTTCTTTCTAAGGGTTCCTATGTGGAGTCGGGGGTGTCGTGCTGAGGGGCTCATAACCTTCGGGAGCCCAGTTGAGCTTCACTGGGCACCAGTGAAACCAGTGGGACCTGGGTTTAGGGCCAGTTTAGGGTTTAGGCTTCAAGGAGTAGGGTTTCGGGTTTAGGCGAGCCTATACCTTTTCAGCGACGTTATATACGGAAATCACGACAGGAAACCTAGAAAGGAAGGTTGTGTAGGGTCCGGGTAGGGTTCAGGGTTGAGGGCTCCCGGGCTTTCGGGAACCCTTGACATCTGTCCATCTGACTCGTCCAAGTAGGGTTTGGGCGTTGGTACTGGGCTCTTGTTAAGTATTTTAACCTACCTTAATAAGGAAACCCGATTATCTTTACTATAGATCCGTATTTTGGTAACTCAACCCTTGGTGTTCAGTGCTTGGGAGGACAAAAGTTCGCCACGCGACCTGTAACTTAACATGTCAGGCTATGTGCATGAAGAAAGTCACATTTCGAAACCTTCGTCCCCGCGATGTATAGGGGCCCGAATAATGAGAAAAGGTAAATTCTGTTATCATTATGGGGATCCCTAAACTCCTTAGACAAGAGTATCGCTAATTGTTCCGACCCCTATAAACCCTAAAACCTATAAACCCTAAACCCAAAGCCCTAAACCATAAATTCAACCCCGAAAGCCCTATAGAGCCCTGATCTCCAAGCCCCGAAGAAGTTTTTGCGCCGGCGAGATACGCTTGGCTGTTCGACTCGTGCCGCAGATGTACTCCACTGCCTCCTCCCTGGGCTTTAGGACTCTTGAGATTTGGGGTTTCAGATACAGGCTTGCCCCTCAACCCTAAACCCCCATATTATATGGGGGTTTGGGGTGAGCGTTCCGCACTTCGCAGTGGGATCCAGAAGTCGGAGTTCAGCCCCCAGCCTGCAATGCCTGTCCCCACCCTCCTGCCAAAGAGCCCCGAACCCCTAAACCCTAAAATGCATGACCCCCAACCCCAGACTCTAAACCCCAAAACCCTAGACCTAAACCCCAAAACCCCAAACCCAGTCTAAAACCTTGAACAGTTTCAACTCCAATACCTGTGGCGGAGGGCACTGGGCTGTTAGGGGTGGAGAAGTTGGGGTTGGGGCAAGTAGCGTTTGTGCTGGATGGTGAACTGCTATCCCCCACACCCTCTTCCAATAATTCTTACGATTGTACTTCTTATGATTATGACTTTCATCAGTACAATATCCATGGTAACAGCACGAATCACCGGAAGAGCATGAGTTTTGTAGTTACCTCTTGAGCTGTCGCCAAAGGTCCAGATCTTGCTGACGGTGCCCATGGTGGAGATCATGTCCTGGAAGGCTTTCCTGGCAGAAGGCAATTGGATACTATAAGGGTCGAGGGTTTAGGGCCTTCGGGAGTTGTAATAAGGGCTACTAGGAGGGATGGAAAAACGGGTACAAGACGGGGTACTATGAGGAGTTTAGTGTTGAGAGTCTCGAGGATCGTAGGTCTTTTCCCTGATGGCCTCGGGTGCAAGGTCTTCCTTCCTGCTTCTTTCATTCCGTCCCTGTCCGCCTGCAGTTCCTTGCTCTCTCCACTTTTGGCACATGCTTCGTAGCATCTTCTACGTGTAGCAATGCTGTTTATTGCGTACAAAACTCCGTGCTGAAACAGGTTCTTTGATGCCCAAGCTAGCTTTGTCGCGTGCCGGGGGTAAAGCACAAAAATCCTGAAGGCGAAAATCGTTTAGGGTTTAGGGTTTGGGGATCATTCCCCTATGAACCATTTGTGTCGCATACTAGTGCAGGCAATTGGGTTCTGGACCGTTACTTAAGCCGTTAGACTTACTTGAACGGCCTCGTAAACTTTACGCTGCCGCTCACAGTGCTGAAATGGAAACTTACGGACAATACGAGTATTTCCCATTATTCAAGCCCCATAGGTGGTTGAAACTTGGCACTTTGCGGCATGGGAGTCGCAGGCAGCACCCATTCACGGAGTTAGGATCACTATCACTAGCCCCGGATGTAAGTTTTGAACGAATAATCCCACTACACGAACTAACGAAATCCCAAACCACTCAAGCCCTGACGCTCCGACATCGCCTCGAATTGAAGAGCGGGCACGGCACGAATGTCGCCAGTGCAGCAAAAAAGCACCCGAGCACTGTCGTCACCAGCACCTGATTCTTGGGCATTCTGGGGCTGAGGCTACGACGAACCGAATCATTCGTGCAGGCAAGCTGCCACAAACCAGTACCTGACATTGAAGCATCTTGTCACGCACAACTGCTGCAAGCAACAGTCACGGAGATGGTGTCTCGTAGCAACAGACGTGAAACACGTTGAACCATAGCGCTGAAACCGAAACCCAAATACCCCGGCCCCTGAAGTCTTCATCTTTAACCCTTTCGAGGGTTTAGGGTTTAAGGTCTAGGGGTTTAGGGGTTTTTCGGGCCTTAAGACCGAAAAACCATGGTACTTAGTACAGGGGCCTCAACCACTAGAATTCCCAAACACGAACAGGAAGGCAATATCGGAGCCTCAGTAATGACAGTAGGTTTCCCTTAGAAGGCTTAAGTCACCGGCCTCGATGAATGGAAACAGGGGTTTAGGACAGATGGGTAGTTCTCGAAGTTAGGGTCCCTTTTTGGATCCTTTTTAAAGAGGTGCCGTACTATACTGGGGACCTAAAAAGGGACCCTCATTTAGAGAACTACCCACATACTGTAAGAAAATTCAGAAGAACTGTGTTCAGTAAGGAACGGTGATGATTGAACAGTGTTGGCAACGTAGTTATTCAAGCCTCCCACGTCCATCCCGGAAGACTTGGCTTCTTCCTTCGGGGGGAGTCGAACACCTTAACAAACTCGTGTCAGAACTTTACAGGTCAGAAACGATAAATTCTAAATCCTAAGCCCTAAACCCTAAAGAGGAGCATCCCCCTGGGAAAGAGATGCGAACAAGCGGCTCGGTCACGCAGACCATGCTGCCGAAGACCAGCTCCGACTCTGGACACAGCGTTCGGCCGTTTTTCGGATCGATGAACTCCATCATAAAGTAGAAATGCCAGGACATACCTGGGTAAGCGTTAGGGGATTTTGGGGTTTAGAGTTCAGGTCCAGGATCTAGCCATAAAGGTCGAAATGCCACGACATACCTCGGGAGCCCTGGGGCTTTTGGGGCGTTGTTGACGTAGCTCCGGATCCGAAGGAAGGCACTGAGCTCAGCAGAACGCAACCTGTGGGGCCCCTCGATGATCTAAGGCTGGTGCCAAACTTGATGGTGTTGATCTGCGAGTTGGACATCATGAACCTGCATTTTTCGCACAGCACAGTCAAGAGCTTTAGCCTGAATGCATCATTAGCACTCTGTTTTGATATGGTCAAACCTCGCGAAACGTCAACGGCTCTTTCACCCTCATCATCATCATCATCGCCCAGCTTGTGGCATCACAGCTGATACCATGATGACAACCATTCTGACAAGCACATGGATACATTTTTTGCCATGATGCTATGAGGTGTGAGAAGAAACTGTTGTCTTTTGATATCTATGTTTCTGCGATGCAGTCTCTTTCAAGGCTGCCAGGGCACAAGAACAGCACACCGAGGGTGTCCAACCATCCGATCCATTGCGCATAGCCCGGAGATTTGTAAACCAAATCGCCTTGCACCGTCACCGTTGAGTAGCAGCAGCTGTCCTCCTATCGCCTCTTCCACCACTCCTGCAACAACCTGCTGCTGCTACTGCTACTTCTTCTACTCCTGCCCCTACTACTACTACTACTACTACTACTACTACTACGACGACTACTACGACTACTACTCCGATCTGCTGCTGCAGCTGCTCCTACTACTCCTACCACTTCTACCAATACCACTACCACTACCACCACCACTACCACTGCCACTGCCATTGCCACTGCCACTGCCACTACCACTACCACTACGACTACCACTGCCACTACCACCACCAGTACCACCACGACTACTACTACTACTACTACTACTACTACTGCCACTGCCACTGCCACTGCCACTGCCACTGCCACTACCACTACCACTACCACTACCACTACCACTACCAGTACCACTACCACCACCACTGCTACCACCACCACCACCACCACCACCACCACCACTACCACTACCACTACCACTACCACTACCACTACCACTACCACTACTTCTACCACCACCACCACGACTACTACTACTACTACTAGTACCAATTACTACTACTACGACTACTACTACTACTACTACTACTACTACTACTACTGCTACTACTACTACGACTATTACTACTACTACTACTACGACTACGACTACGACTACTACTACAACGACTACT